CTTGCAGTTTCTATCTTGTCTTTGCCCAAGCTTACAGTGGACTGTTATTTCTGCGAATTCTGAACAGTGCAGCGGTCACAGGCGCTGTTGTCTCTAACCTTTTTTACTTCTTCTGCCTAGATACACGCTACTTGAATGTTTTCCTTCCTATGTTGGCTTAGCTTACCAGTGTTACCACTAAGTTCCGGCTGCAACACCACAACAGTACGGCCACAGGTAAGTAGCAGGCCCAAGCTCCTTTCCAGCATACAAGTACCCTGGCGGGTCACACACACACACACACACACTCTAAGCCATCATGCACTAAGACAAACACACGGAAACTCAGGAATCATGCACACACATGTACTTAGAAATCTCAGCAGAATGCGGGAATCTCAGCTCACACAATCCAGTGGCAAAACTGAAAAAAACAGCAGAGTTCTCAGTCTGTGATTTTGCAGGGCATTACATATTATGCATTGTATGTCTACATGCATGATTTTATCATTATTTTTACTGCTGTATGAATGTATTATGAGGATCGGAACCCCTCGGCATGGCTCCAAGTCCCTTTGTGCGGTACTAAGGGAAGGCGGGGCTGGATTTTTAATTCAGCCTGAAAGCAGAGGGGCCCCCAGAGARAAAGGGGCCCGCGAGTTATTTGCACAGCGCTCCCCGTGGATGGTTGAGCCTCGCGGCATCTTCAACCACCGGGTAGAGCCCGGCAGTTGAAGATGCTGTCAGCGGACTGGCAGCAACGCTACCGGGCCAATCCAACTGCAAAGCGGCAAAGGTAACTGCACCTAAYGGTAATGCAAGGCTGCAARCGGACTGGCAGCAAAGCAACATCACAGCTCTGCAGCAGCACCAAAACTACACGTCACACAAACAAACTGCACGGGAAGACAAGGCACGCGGATGGGCAGCAAGGCAAAACCGCACCAAAGCACAAGGCAATACCAGCAAATCAGCCAACCTACATGGCAAACACACCAGCTTCAGCGAAAGACATGGGGAGCAAGCAGGATGGGCAGCCGGGCAGCAGAGGAGTGCGGACTAGGCAATCTGC